GAATAAACACAAAGCGCAAAAAAACTTTCCGTGAATGTTGTAGACTATGCATGAAGCTACAAGGTGGCAACAATGTCAGAATCAAGCCTATAATTGCACGACATTGACCACGATTTTAATTTTTGCTGTAGCGCGTCGCAGTCAAAATCAAATAGAAAAAAACCGACCTGCGCATGAAAATAATATATAATAAACAACATCACACTCCAGCTACTTTGCACCGCGAAGAAGTAAAGCTAAAGCAAGAACACCAACAAGACTAGAGCGTAATATCTTTCCCCCAATCGAGTGCGTCGCTTTTTTAGCTTGTATTCATCGCTTCTCAAAGAGCCTGAGCTTTTGTTTTGTCTCTCAAGAGTCCCCCGCTAAGTTTTGACTTGTGCACTGCAGCACTCAAGAACCACACGGTAGAAACGACTTTGATTCATATTTGCGAACCACGACAACTTCTACACTGCAGCACTCAAGAACTACACGGTAGAAACGACTTTGATTCATATTTGCGAACCACGACAACTTCTACAGCCGAAGGCTACATCTTCAAATTCACGTAAGTAACTGCACAGGCATAGCTTAGTGCTCGCGCTTCTACGTTGCCCTCCGACGACGTCCACCAAATACTAATAGCCGTAAGACGTGGCTCTGTATTGTTTTGCTCCAGTTTCTAGCTGCGTTTTAATATTTTTTCAAGTTTATTTTTTGTCAGGAACAGGAAGGCACTGCGACGTCGCACTTTCTATTTGTTTTTGTTGCGAAGAAAAAAATTAACAAAAAAAATGTTGGCGTCGCGGCGCGTGATTGCCTCTTTGCTCCTTGTAGGATCGACCGCTTGTCGTGGTGCCTTTACAGCGCCTTCTTCGTCCTCAAGTCTATCCTATGTGAAAACGTCCCCACCCCATAATTGCCATGTGCTTTATTTTGGTCTCTTCCAGTTGTACATAAACGCCCCATGGTTGTCATGCAAATCTGCATGCTTAAATCTATAAATGAAAATGTTTGCGTTTCTCATACGGAGCCCCATGAGAAGCGTTTTCTAGTCGTGTTTCGGAATTAGTGACGCAGCTCCGATCAGGATAATAGACTAGATCTGTCATGCTGTTGAACTAGCGAAATCGAGGATTGTACTACGAGGCCAATAAACTTGTCATGCGGAGCAAACAAAGCTGGTAGATTTGTCTACGCACATTTCCCATCTTAAAACTATGAGGAGGGGACGGCTTTGCTGAGGATATTGAAGTCGCTCCAGTATTTTTTCCCGCCCAGTCGTGGCGTCTAGTACAACGTCGCACGAATCTCGTGGAGGTCGTACTAGGCGCGGGCGCAGTGCCAGCGCCAAGCCCAAGGAGCACCTTCCCCGAGACGAGGACCACTTTGACCGCGAGAAGCCGTGCGCGATTTGTCTTCAGCCGATGAAGGAGGAGGATAGCGTCTTTATCACGCACGTTGACCCGCAGAACCAAAACGAGGTGGACGCGACGGCCACGCAAGAGCATATCTTTCACCGGGACTGCGTCAGCAGGTGGTTGGCTACACAGAGAAGTTGCCCCATTTGCCGCGACTCGCGCGGGATCCGCGGAAAGCCGATGCCGATTCTTTCCACGGCCCCACGACCTGTACTGAACTCCTCCAGAGCTGCTGCGACTGCGCGCGATGTTAGTCGCAGGAGCGAAGCCGACTTTCGGGCCGCGCGGGCAAGAGCACCGCAGCGGACCTACCAGAGGGACCTTTGGAATGCCTTTTTTACTCCCGGCAGAAACGACGACGCCTCCGCCGGCAGCTCCGTCGACGATCTTCTGGGTTTGCAGCTGGAGCGAAGGCGCCGAAATTGGGAAGGCGCCAGCGCTGTTGGGCCTACTTCTATCAACGTCTACTCGAATTCCGGGGGGCACTCCAGGCAGGCCTACCATTCTGACGCCGATGCTTTCGAATTATTCCAGCACCGAGCCGGCCTTCGTGGGGCGATTGCATCCAGCAGTATGCAGCCTGCTGGAACAACCCAAGCCGCAGGGGGAATAGACTCCCTAGGCTCCCCTCTTCTTACGTTTGTGCGCGATCTTTTTGTCAACAGGCGGGAAGATGACCTCCTTGGCAACGGAATTTCCCCGCGCCTCCGTGAAGAGCTCGAGGACCTCCGATGGAACTTCCTTGGGAGGATGCCACGGGGCAGGGACTTTGACAGGAACTGGAACGCCGTGAGCCAATATGAAAAAGCGCAGCGGCTGTCCCGTGCGGGGCTGGGCCCGCACTACGCAGCGCTGCAGCGGCAGCGGGCAATGGCTGCGGGGTCTTTCAGCATCGGGAACATGGACGTTATGCGACAGGAGGAAGCTATAAACGAAATCTTCGTGACGAAGCTCCCCCCAGTCTGCGGTGAAGGCGAGAATGTAAGATGGATCGATGTCACGTTTTCTCGCCCTAGAAGAACTAGGGCCGCGGAGTATCAAAAGGAAAAATTCCCCCTCCCCATATCAAAACGAAGTTTCTGATGCTGGATTTGCGTACAGAAATCAGATTTGTCTTGCTGGAGAGGACTGCAGGCCTATACTAAGCCTGAGTAGAAAGAGAGGTTTTCTGCTAGGCGGTAAGCATGGCAAACGCCTAGTCTGTAGGGCCAACAGCATCACAAACCGCCTGCAGAATGCGGCGGAGCCTGTGTAGTTTCGGTCCTGCAAGACAGAGATGATTTGAGGTCGCAAATGAGCATTACAAATTTCCTGAGACGTGCCTTTTCGATATGGGGAGGGGGGATTTTTGCTTACGATACGGAGGATATGAAAGCGCCAGCACCGAAATTGACAAAGGTCTATAAAAATTTGTCGTGACGCATGAAATGCGAGTTCTTAAAGAGTGACCCTGTTCTTGCAGAGTAGCCATGTCAGCAGGCGCCAAGCAACATCTGGGCTGCTGACGAGAATTAGAATTGCAGCAGGGAGCCCATTTGCACTAAACAGCATGACAAATTTGCTTCTGGCGCCGGAAAAATTTATCATCATGCAGTGTTGATTTTGATTTATTAGAAACTCTGCTGCAGCTGTTTCATCAGCTGGTGACAGATACTTATTTTCAAATTTGTCGATTTCGAACCTGGCACTGCCATAGAGGAGGGCCACGAAAATGACGTCCGGGAAGTATCTATCAAATGCAAAAATGTCTGGGTCTGGAAGAATGGAAGGCTTGTCATGCTTGTCTGGCATGACCCGTGATGCTTGTAATGCATGACCCAGCATCACAGATTTTTGGAAAGCTTCCTGATGCCAGTTCCGCATGACAAATGCCCTCCTCGCGCAGCACTAATGTGGCTCCTCTTGCTGGTCATGCAATACAGATTTTTTTNTGGAAAGCTTCCTGATGCCAGTTCCGCATGACAAATGCCCTCCTCGCGCAGCACTAATGTGGCTCCTCTTGCTGGTCATGCAATACAGATTTTTTTAGAGTCCAAAGTTAGCATCACAAGTCCCAACTTTCCAGACCCAGACATTTTTGCAGTTGATAGTATCCGTGGAGCTGGGGGTTTACTTTCGCGAACCGCTCAAGTTGACTTGCGTCTTCCGGTATCAAATGTAAAAATGTCTGGGTCTGGAAGATTGCCAGGTTTGTCATGCACATTTTGCATGACTCATGATGTCTGTGATGCATGCCCTAGCATCACAGATTTCGTGAGGGGGGCTTCCTGATGCCTATACCGCATGACAAATGCTTTTTCCGTGTAGCAAAACTTGGACTCTCTTCGCTGCTCATGCAATACAGATTTTTTTAGAATCCAAAATCAGCATGACAAGTTGCATTCTTCCAGACCCAGACATTTTTACATTTGATATCCGGTACCGTGCGACGGCGCTAGAAGACGGCCTGGAAGTGGTTTCGTTTTCTTTCCACAGTGTTGCACTCGCTGACGGGGTCGTCATGGAAGTGCCAGACGAGATGCGCCGACTTCAGTAATCATGTCCTATTCCTCAAATAGTTGGGCCATCGCGTGCTGAAACAGGCAGGGCCAGCGAATGTAGTAGCTTCTGCGTCTGGCGCCGATGCTTTGTATTCCATATTTATTAATCATGTGAATGTGCCAGCTGCTATCTTGCTTGTTTTTACTGGCTATCCCTATCCACCGCGCGGGCAGCTACAAGGAGGCCGCTCTCTTTGTGATCGGTTTGCGCGGTCAAGCAAGGCCGTCTTTCCGTATCAAGTCTATATATATCGTCTAACTCCCTTTTAGAGCCAGATGAAGTCCTACTTATACTTAGTTAGGCTAAGTAAGTATAATTTATTGTGGTAGGAGGAATCCAGGGAGAGGAGATCTAGCTCTCTTCGAGCGATCGATATAATTCTCTCTGCTAATTTCTGCTCCGTCATTTGTTGTAGTCTTTCGTTTTGAATTTGATGATATAGATAAAGATTTTTAGATGAGGGCCCGCTTTTTTGATGACTTGATGTTCTGTATAGTCTTTGAACACCAGAACGCCGTGTATGATTTAATTCGAACCGAGGGGGAAAAAAGATAGAGGGAAAACTAGAAGACGCTTTGCATTTATACTATTACTTGCTAGATGCTTGTTTATACTCGATAGCACTGGAGTAGGGTGACATGGGAGCTAAGGCGCCTGCGTTTCTCCGAAGAAGGTGCTTCAGTATAAGAAAACAAATCTACTGCAAATCGCTACACTCGGACGAAACAGGCTCTATTTTAAGTACTAAATATCGATAATGCAATGCAGATTACTACTAGGAGGCATTAAACACGTGACAAGAAGTTCGTTACTATTTTGCGATAGCAAAAGCAAAAGCATAACACCGAGGGATTTTTTGGATCACGTCGTATCCAGGGCGACTGTGTTTCAGGAAATGTAAATCTCGGTTGATCGGTGGACTCGCTTGGAAATTTTAAACAAGCAAAACACAAAATCTGTAATGCAAATCTCAGAGACCGGCAGCTAAGAAATCGGAAATGTAATCTTTTCGCAAATCGTAGATGAAAATGAAAACTGACCTATTCGGCTCGGAGAAAAAAGAAAAAAAGTCGGTCTTTCGTACGAAATCGATCGTGCACGAAAATTGTTGTTTAGCTCTGCCATATGTCGTATACGGATAGTTTTGATCGTTTTCAAATGTTTTGCTCATGAAATCTGTCACATCACTACAACTTTATTTTGAACGAAAAAATCGCAAACAGCATGACAGATTTACAACTAGAACTAAAAGGTGGATTTGTAATGCGAGGATGGTAATCCTGTGCAGAGCGGCAATTTAGCATGACAGATTTGATTTGTAACGCAGGACCCATAAGAACAGGATAGTAGTTAGACCTTGCGCTTAAAGACATCACGGTAGGCAAGAATATTGTTATATATTTTTCGACCCGTCAGCTAACAGCTCTCGAAAGTCTAACTACAAAATACGCATTACAAATTTGAAGAAAACAAGGGAAAACGCAAGACGAGTGCGAATTTTAGAAAGAACAAAAACAAAAAACAAGAAAAATCGCGAAAGAAAAATGTGACTGTGGAAAAAGGAAAAGTTCGGACTTCAATGATCTCTTGTTCACCGGCTCAGGCAAAGGCACCCACTTCGCTGGTGAGTGAGTCAGCGACATAAAATACCCTCGAAGGAACATGTATAGAAGTCGTTTCTTGCCACCGTTTTGATGTCTTGATATAGCCAGTAGCTTCTCAGTTTTTAGGCAGTACGGGCGCAGAATGGATGCGCGTTGTGCCTCCAAGTGATCACGTTTAATAACGCGTTGCACACATCAAAAATGCGAGCGCGGAATTCGCAACACAGAGTCAACAGCGCGGCAGAAGTGTCTTGCTTGGCGGTGCATCTGCATCACAGTGCGCTTTAGTATAATTCGCTGAGGACAACATCATGCGTCACAACTTTCCAGACGTCCAGGGATATTTGCACTTGATACGTTCAACACGGTGCTGGATGATGTTGTCTCCCACGTCGTCGTATCAAATATAAAAATGTCTGGGTCTGGAAGATTGCAAGGTTTGTCATGCACATTTTGCATGACCCGTGAACGTGATGTCTGTGATGTATGCACCAGCATCACAAATTTTTTGCGGGCATCTTGATGCCTATCCCGCATGAGAAATCCCCTCTCCTCGGAGCAAAAGCTGGACGCCTCTTGTTGCTCATGCAATACAGATTTTTTTGGATTCCAAAAATAGCATCACAAGTTGCATTCTTCCAGACCCAGACATTTTTGCATTTGATACGTCGTTTCTCTGATGATCGCCGCGACAGGCCAGGGCTTCTCCTACCGAATCGCCCGAGAAGCGGCGCAGGAGGGAGCTGCCTCTTCGGTTGACTTTGAGATGGCGCGCGTCGTGCAAACCAGGATGGCG